CCCTCGGTACAACAATCATACAAAATGTGTATCAACAGAGACTTTGGGAACGGAAGGGATTGATAAAATGACCTCATCTGAAGTCGAACAAGGCTTGCCTTGAAGTTGTGACTGTAAACATTTGTAAATCAGCCTCACAACACCGATTGACCCACAGAAGAGTGCGTCGAGGTGTTATTCACACATATTTACAGCCACATCTCATTTACAGCCGAAACTGGTATATCCTAACGCCAGATTGTCTTTTTTAGATGTGGTCATTGTCGAATTTAGCTGAGCATTTCTCGATACCCATGAATCCGGGTTAAACTTTTGGCTACCATTTGATAAAAGTCTACTGACTGAACAGGTACTCTTAAACTAAATCCTATCAAAAACTAACCGTGAATACTAATATCGTCTTATAATTATGCCAGACTTCATACGGGCTTAGGAAGCTTGTTTTCCAGCAACCCTACTTGAGTTTTCGGTGAGGCTAATCATCATAATCATCATCATTATCATTTCGGACTCATAAATGTTAGTTTAGTGGAGAGAGGGAAAAACTTGTCTTTCGAATGAGTGTTCTCTTCTAGGCTGGTCTGCACCAACCTAGATGCAAGCTAAAAATAATGCTCACCTAAAAGCCAAACACTTTAGAGATGATAATTTTTTCAAGATTTTAATCCAAAATAGAATCAGCTTCTTATATTCACCAAGTAAGCCTGGTAAATGGGACAGAATAGTTTGGCATAATATATGCTGGAATGAAAGACCTTATGCAACGTAATTACGACTTAAATTTAACTCGGCCTTACTTAAACTCCGAGTAGCGATAAGCCCGTTGTCGACTAATCGTTTAGTCAGTAGTAGATGACCGCTTCATGAAGAAGAGATAGGAAAACTTAATTTTTTCATCCGAGTTAACCGAGCTGCGAAACTAAAACTTGCAGTATTCTACGGTTTCAAGCTCTACCAAGTTTCACTAACGCTTCGGATGGGTTTCAGCTTCATGAATTCTAAGTCCACATAAAAATGCGTGATCAGCAAAACACAAATTAGACAATGTTGTCATTGCAATTCAGGGGCATGAAAAATCCAAAGCAAGATGGCAGCCCTATTGTCCCTCTACCGTTTAAAAATTTTAAAAAAGCCACTACTATAAACGAATAATGATGAAACTACCTAATTATAATCCATTTCCGTTAAAGGGAGGGCTATTCATTTTCTATAAATTGCATTATTAATTATCTTACTACTTAGCTTTAAGGGTGAGTAGCGTTATTTTCTTATTTTCTTAAACCACCTCGATGAGTTTCTCTAATTTTAAAGGGCATCGCTGCAGTAAAGGCACATTTAGCAGAATCTTGAACTAATAAAAAGATTAATAATAAGAGGAAAAACAATGAGAATTAAAAGAAGAATGCAATCTTCTCCTTCCTCCCATTTTTTTTCGATTACTTGAGACTCTCAGCCGTCTGCGATCAGTTAAAGCCTTACAGAAAACCCATACGCCTACACGCCTCGCACGCCAGCGATGCCGCCCAGAGGAGGGAGAAAATATGGGATTGATAAGGCAGCCAAGGCCGGTCTTAGTTGCTGATGGTTCTCTCTCGAAAGACAGAATGGCCCGTTTGAGTTTGCCTACAAAGTCATAATTATACGGGCTAATCAAATCTGATGAGCTTATTTAATTTAGCTGAAATTTGTTATCCATTTTATAATTTGTTATCCTTCTCTTTATATCTATCTAGTTATAGAAATATATATATATATAAGGCAACTTTATGCTTTCTTAGATGTTCAGTCAAAGATAATAATGAAGTCAGGCTTTAGCCTTGGTTAAACTCAATTGAATTAATCCGGATGAATGCATAGAAATACACTCGAGATGGCGAGGTTAATCTGATCGAGGAAACTAGGGAGCCAATCAAAATTCTAAATATTCCCTTTCTTCTCTTTTTATCTTTGAATAACCTGCCTCAATATTCAATGTTCTCATCTTTCCCATCGCCCCTTCTGCCTGGCTCTTCAACGACCTGCCTCCTCGAGCTGAAGTTGCCCACTCTGGTCTTCTCGTTTATCTCAAGGTCATTCGTGTCCCAGTTGAGCTGATGCTGAGGAGGATGAGCCGGAAAAAAACTGCCTGAACTCCAAAGGCAGACGAAGAGAGGAGATGGAAGTGGATTAGCCGAGGGTCTAATGTTGTCCCGAGCTGCCCAATTCTACCATCAAGTCTGTTGTGACGCCAAAGTGTTACTGTCTCCGGCATGGGTGGGGATGGGCTGAGGACGCCACGTGAAAGTGGATTATCATATTTGGTGGTATCGCTTTGGGCACGGAGTGCAAATGCCCATTCATCCCGACCCAATTGCCCAATTTTATGCTCCTTTCAGTGTACATTTAAACATGCCATGCTTCAGGTT